TTTGAATGGCCACTAAATGAATTGTTGTGAATCGACGATTATCTGTATCAAGAACCTACCTGTTGTGGCTCCATTATCTAAGCCTGTGTCATCGGCAGGAGAGGACTCCAAGAGTGAAGGAGAGGAGTTGGCAAGGCCTCCCTCTCCAGGACCCTCCTCTCTGGCAATGCCTTTGGTGTCCACCGAAGGGCAAGAGATAGGGCCGAGGCCAAGCACGTCCACGCAGCCACAGATGGACAGTGATGAGGGTAATGAGTCTTGGCTGGATCCACGCCAGTGTCACAGAGATAAGCGCACGCAACAGAAGAAAAGGTGTGCCCGAGATTAGGCTGAGTCACTGGACCACACCCCACAGGATATAAAAGGGAGCGTGGTGGCCAGTCAAACCTTGTGACGAACAAAGATGAAAGCTTCCACGCCATTCTGCATTGCCGGACTTTTTGCTATAGATTTTGCTGGATTATCTCTGGACTTGAGTGACTCTGTAATTATTGAGCTGTTTCTTTTGATGTACCAGGAGTGGGGAGAAGTTATCTCTCCTCTTCGTAAATAATATAACTCTTGGCAGGCAGCCACTAGGCTTGTTGCCAAGTTCCGTTATCATAAGGAAAAGGATTTTGCCGGCTGGTTTGGTCTTTAACTCTTGAACGTCTGTTGGTGTGTGTGCATGTGGTTGGGGACAGAACACTACCCAGCCCTGGTTTGTTGCTGTCACCGGAGGGAATTTGACACTAGGAAGTGATCTACATCTTCATTAATTCATACAAAGTGGTTAGTTTGTTTTTCGCTTTGGGCGACGGGTCAGTGAATAAACGGGGTTTTAATCTTAGGATACTAAATCTCAGTTTGGTTTTTATTGACTTCTTCGGTTGCAACTGTGGCTTGGGGTGAGTTCATTGGTGTCCACAGAAGATCAGGGGGTTAAAATGTGAGCTGTGACAGAGCAATGAAAGTACAGCAACAACAAATCTACAATTCGACAAAGAAATTAATATATAAGGATTTACTGAATGCACAGGGAAAATTAAAATCTAAAGAGGAACTGAATTCTTGCATTGTGGTGTCAAAATGCACATATATCATAGTCCCAAATGTGCTTTTTTCAAGAGGCAAGTGGACTTTTTTTTTTAATTTGATTTATATGCCGCCCTTCTCCGGAGACTCAGGGCGGCTTACAATGCACTAAGCAATAGCCTTCATCCTTTTGTATATTTATACAAAGTCAACTTATTGCCCCCACAACTGGGTCCTTTCTGGTTTTTCTTTGAAGATGTTTCGCTTCTCAGCCGAGAATTTTTTTAAAAAATTAAATAAATTTTTATTTGTTTAAAAGTACAAACAAAACAGAACTAGCGACAACAAAACATACAGAACAAAACATGTAAACAAAGATTTCAAATATACATTTTGTCAAATATATATTGTCAAATAAACAACAGTAATGTATGTTCTTATTTGTGTTTTGACTCTTCCTTGCTTGATCTTACTCATATATCTATCTTTATGATTCATTGTTAATTTATGTTAGTGATTTATGTTCCTGTTTCTGTAACTCCAATTACTCCCTATTCTTTTTTCCTTTTTCTATTTTTCAACCACTTTTCCCATACTAGATAATAATCATGTTCCTCTTTATCTTGTAATTCTTTTGTAAGTCTGTCCATTTCTGCACATTCCATAATCTTATTAATTACTCTATCTTCTGTCGGTGTGTCGAGAATTTTTTCAGTGCTTCAGACAGGGGTGGGATTCAGCCAATTCAGACCAGTTCAGACAAACTGGTAGTTGTGACCTGTGGGTGGGGGTGGGCCTGCCCCCACCCTGGCCCAGCCCATCTGCCCCGGCGCTATGCCGTCCTATTTAGCTGCATTTTTTGCACATGTATGCGTGCAAGCATGCGAGCAGAAGGCTGCACGCCAGAGGTAGGTTTCAGCAGGTTCTTACCAATTCTGGAGAACCGATAGTGGAAATTATGAGTAGTTCGGAGAACCGATAGTAAAAATTCTGACTGGTCCCGCCCAGTGGTGAAATCTAAATTTGTTACTACCAGTTCTGTGGGCGTGGCTTGGTGGGGGGTGGTAATGTGACTGGGTGGGTGTGGCCAACTTTTTTTTTTTACTTTTAAAATAATTTTTTCTACAATCTCTTCGGCTGAAGAGGTTGTAAAAAATGTTTTTAAAAGCCTCTGACGATCCCAGCTGACTTGCCTGATCAGCAGAGGCTTTTTTTTTTAAAAGCCTCTGCTGATCAGGCAACTCACTGGGATCGTCAGAGGCTTTTAAAGAAAAAAAGCCTCTGCCGATCAGGCAACTCAGCTGGGATTGTCAGAGGCTTTTAAAGGCATTTTTTTTCCTACAACCTCTTCGGCCGAAGAGGTTGTAGAAAAAATGCTTTAAAAGCCTCTGATGATCCCAGCTGACCGCGCGATCATCAGAAGCTTTTTTTTTACTTTTAAAAGAATTTTTTGGTTGAAGAGGTTGTAGAAAAAATGCTTTTAAAAATTAAAAAAAAAAGCCTCTGATGATCGCACGGCTCAGCTGGGCAATGGGGGGTGAGGCACATTTTTGCTACCTTCTCCGAATCACCCACCGCCATCGCTACTGGATCAGGCAATCCGTCCGAACCGGGAGCATACCCGTCCCACCTATTCTATGCCTCCTGAAGAAAATGGAGATTTTGCAGTAACCTTCCCTTGCACACCAAGCCACACCCACAGAACCGTAGAAACCTATCACTGGACACATATTTTCAGTGCTGGAGCGAACGGTAATTCATGTGCCACCCACCTCTGAGACATTCTGAAGCTTCTTCAAACTGAAGAAGCTTCTCGGATGAGAAGCGAAACGACTTCAAAGAAAAACCAGAAAGTCCAGTTGCCTCTTGAAAAAGCATCTTTGAGACAAGCATGACCTGCATGACAGAGAGAATCTTCATAATCACATTTATCATACTGAATCATTCTGAGTACTGGTGGATGCCTATCGGTGAATTATATATGAAGATATGTGGTTGTTTCTACTTTTCTGGCTTATTTCTGGTTTATTGTGGTACACTGCCAAAGTTCCTGGCCAATGCTTAGAGATGCAAGACTACAGCAATTGAAAGGAGGAAGGGAAATAGAGCTGAAAGTTGCTTAACAAACCAGGATTATTTTATATGCTTGAAAGTTTCACCTGAGGTTGTTTCTGTTTTATTCAACAACAAACCCTTCTTTAAAAAAATAAATAAACCATACAACTAACTAAGTTGTGAATTCAGAAAGTTCAGTAAGAAAGGGGAACAAGAAATTACCACAAATTTATGATAAGAGTAGATGCAAATTTATTGATTCATTCAATAAAATCCAAAACGCAAGTTATCTAAAAATACAAAATAATTGTGAAGTATTATAGCACCGGATAACCTGAATTTACTTCCAGGGATGAGATAAGGATTAAGGACACTTAATTCTATCTTCCATTGCTAGTTTCAGGTCATGCAGAAAACTTGTATAGCTCTGCCTAGTCAGGTTTCGTTTTGTTGTAAGAATTTTGCAACCAGCAATCCTTAAATTTATTTCTAAATTTCTGGAAGCTTTCCAAAACTGGCCAGCAAATTATCTGAAATGTTATAGGGCAGGGGTGTCAAACTCGATCTCATTGAGGGCCAGATCAGGGTTGTGTTTGACCTCAGGGGGGCTGGGTGGGAGGGCGTGGCCAGGGGGCGTGGCCACCTTGACATCATTTGTATCAGGGGCGCCTGTGATCTCCTGAGCACTCTGCCAGTGAAAATGGCCTCCCGAGCTCTGTTTTGGGCTGCGACGGCCTCCTGCAACCCCCTGCCAGCAAAAACGGAACTTGGGAGGTCTTGCATGTCGTCCTCCTGAGCTCTGTTTTCATTGGCAGAGGCATCGCTGTTTCCAGGACGGCCCCACGGGCCAGATCTAAGCACTGGAAACAGCAAAGGAGTGCCTCTGCCAGAAAAAATGGAACTTTGGTGGGCCATGTATGCCCTCCCCCTGGGACTCCATTTTTGGCTTTGATGGCCTCCTGCAGCCTTCTGCCAGCAAAAACAGACCTTGGGGAGTGGGTGCTCATTTTCGCTGGTGGAGTGCTGCAGGAGGCCGTCCCAGCTGAAAACGGAGCCTGGGAGGCATGAGTGACATGGAGCTAGTCATGCCCACCTAGCCATGCCCCACCCCCCATGGTCTCCTGAGGTCAAACACAACCCTGATGTGGCCCTCAATGAAATCGAGTTTGACACCCCTGGAATAGATGAAGCTGGCCCTCTGTGGAGCTGAAAAATGATTTGGCTGTCATGCCAGCTAGTTTCTGAGCATGGACTACAGGCATCTATTATTCAGTTCCTCATCTCAGCCAGGAAAAGCTCTTGATCCAGCTGTGGTTTGGGTGGATCCTTTGATCCATTGTACGATGGCGTACCTGCTGCTTACCATCCTTCAGGCTGCACATCAAGCTGTTGACCGGAAAGTGGTGGAGAGCTGTAGATTTCATGGCCAATTGCCCGTGTGTAATCCATCGTGACATCATTACTGGAGAGGTAGTTCTTCCCAAAAGCTCCAGTCCTTTTTTTAATTTTATTTTTTTTGCATTGAGTTGGAAATAATTCCGAGAGGATTTCAACTTAAAAGAAGAAGAAGAAGAAATAAAACAGAGAAGGGCTTGGATAAAAAAAAAAAAATTCTGTAACATTTTGCTGCACTTTTTGTAGCCTTTGGTTACAAAAAGCGGGAAGAATGTTTCTGATAAATGATAACACTTTCCCCCCCCCTATTCTACAGATTATTTACTTTATCGGGGGTCTTTCATCTGTAATCTTAGCTATGAGTTTTAGTCTATAAATAAAGACGGCGTTAGATAAGCTTCTGGGCTCCGTTGCTGCACTCGTATTTTGATCTCGGTGAGATTCCAAAGAGATGACTTGGCAAAAACTTTTATCTTCTAAAAAAGTATCTTCGAGACATTGACTCAAATGGGATGCCTTTCTTTATCTATTTGCAGGTGAGGGAATACACCAAATTAATCGCGCTCTATGAAGCAAAGATTCTCAATTTAACCATCAAGATCGAACATATGGAGAAGTCCAGCGTATCTTACACGGAGTTGGATTTCGAATTAATCAAACTGGAAATCACGGAGATGGAGAGGCTGATTGTTCAGCTGAAGACATCGCTTACTGGAAGCAACGTGTTTGTGGAGCAGTTGTATGTCGAGGTAAAATCTTTCCTTGGGCTTTTTCTTTTGATTCGTTCATGTTGTGACCTAGACTTACTGAGTCATTACAAGACACAATTAGTCCCAAATAAATCTATTTTATTGTAACAGCTGAGAATTACGTTCATTCCCAGTTGAGTCCCAATTAGTTACAAAACAAGTCCTTTGGAAGAAGTCCTTTGGGATAATCACCAACCTTTATCTTCTTTGACACCCTGCCAAAGGCCTTACTTGGCAAAGCCCCACAAAGTTCAGAAACAAACAAGAGATGCCGACTGGAAACAGAGTTAGCAATGTTGCTTTCCTGAAAAAAGACCCAAGTGCCTTTGTTTCTCTTTTAAGCCTTATGGGAGGAGCCAATCATCTCCTGGCCTTACTCCCGAGTCATCCCTTTTGCTTTAGCTGCTATTGCCTTCTGGCAGCTCTGCACATGCGTGCATTAGGAACAAGCTCCTCCTGTTCCTCTGCCTCTCTGCTGTCCGACTCTGGGGGCTCCAGAGTCCGCGCATCACTCCCAGATGGCCCTGGCCCCATCTCTGCCTCTGACGCAGACCCCTCGTCTGGGCCTTCCCCTGATTCCAGGACTGGCCCATGTTCCTCCCCAGCCTCCTCACTGTCTGACTCCACTGCCAGCTCTGCAGGCTGCTGGCGGACCACAACAGTTCAAACCTCCCGTGTCTCTGATGGGATTGCTTGTCGCTTGTGAAACAATAATCAGGAGTTAGGCTGTAATTCTTTATTTTTTTTCATTCGCTCTAGGCCAGTTTTAGACTGGCCTTCCAAGAAGACAAAGATTAGAAGTCCTACCTGGGCAACAGTGGACACTAAAGAGAAGAGTTAAAAATAAATAAAAATAAACAGCTGCCAAACATCTGAAGCCTTGAAAATAATCCAAATAACTGTTTTTATTTTATCCAGATTAGGAATTTGAGCATCATGGTGAATAAACTGGAACTGTTGGATAAGAATAACATCCTTGCGGTTCGCCGGGAAATCGTCGCTCTGCGAGCTAAGTTGCAAGAGTGTGAACAGCATCGAAACCAGACTGCTGAACATCCCTACTTCCCACCTGGTAAGCAGTTGTTAAATTTGTTGAAATGGAAATGTGAGGAGCAGGGAGTGGATCCAGGAAAGGAAGGTGGCCTGAGTTCCTTGCTCAAAGCGCCTAGTAAAAATCAACAAAGGATAGTTTCCCAAATCCATATTTAAGGATCTGGGTTATGACGTTGCCCCTAAACCCATCGATTCAAGCCATGGTCTTCTCCAGGTTACCCTGAAGGGATTGAGAAAAAAGAACGTTAAAGATCAGAATAGAATAACAGAGTTAGATGGGATCTTGAAGGTCTTCTAGTCCAACCCTCTGCACAAGCAGGAGATCCTATACTATTTCAGACAGATAGTTGTCCAATCTCTTCTTGAAAACCTCCAGTGATGGAGCATCCACAACTTCTGGAGACAAGTTGTTCCACTGATTAATTGTTCTCATTGTCAAGAAATTCCTCCTTAGTTCTAGGTTGCTTGTCTCCTTGATTAGTTTCCATCCATTGTTTCTTGTCTTGCCTTCAAGGGGCATTGGAGAATAGCTTGACTCCCTCTTCTTTGTGTCAGCCTCTCAAATATTGGAAGACTGCTATCATGTCATCCCTAGTCCTTCTTTTCATTAAACTAGACAAACCCAATCAATCGATCGGATTGTACAGAGCCTCCTCCAGTCTGTCTGCTTTTCGGCATGTTGAAATTCAGAATTTGGTGCCAACACGGTCCTTGGTTATAACGACGGGCAATTGACAAGGGGTTTGCAAGTGGCCAGATTGAAGTTGCCTATGGGTGGCTTTAAGGTTTAAGGGATGTGGTGGCCCAGTGGCTAAGACGCTGAGATTGTCGATCAAAAGGTCGGCAGTTCAGCGGTTCAAATCCCTAGTGCCGCGTAACGGGGTGAGCTCCCATTACTTGTCCCAGCTCCTGCCAACCTAGCAGTTTGAAAGCACGTAAAAAAATGCAAGTAGAAAAAATAGGGACCACCTTTGGTGGGAAGGTAACAGCATTCCGTGCGCCTTTGGCATTTAGTCATGCCAGCCACATGACCACGGAGACGTCTTCAGACAGGCTCCTGGCTTTGAAACGGAGATGAGCACCGCCCCCTAGAGTCGGGAACGACTAGCACATATGTGCGAGGGGAACCTTTACCTTTACTTTACTATGGGTGGCTTTGTAAATTGAATTAATAAATTAATAAGCACTAAAGAAATAAATCTCAACAAAATCCAAAGCGTAGATTAGAACCAAGAAAAAGAATGAAACGGACATGCCCATGACGTCAGAAAATAATCTGGCATAAAAGCCATTTTAAAAAGGCTGAATAAACAAATACAGCCGGCGCTAAATTGAAACATTCCATTTCTCCCGGCCTGAAAATTTTGAAATTATATATGGGCCTCCTGACACTAATAGCTATTGACAGGCTATTTCCTTTATGAATTTGTTTCATCTGCTTTTAAAGCTATTAAAGTCAGCTATTACTCTTTCTTTTGGATGCGAATACTGTAATTCAGGCATACGCCGAGTGATAAAGTATTTCCTTTTGTCTTTCCCGAATCAACAACCATTTAGCAACATTGGATGACCCGCGATGTTGCTATTATGACAAAAGAATAATAAATAGAATCCTTCATCTATTTTTTTTCCCCCGACACGATGCATAATTTTATACATCTCTATCAAGTCGTCTCTTTAGATGTATTGTTGTTTTTTTTCCTCTGCTCAGCTTAAAAGTGCCACTAGTTATAACCCTGGGGAATTGTTCCAAATTATTCATCATTTTGATGGTCCTTTTATGCATCTCTTAACGCATCTTCTCCAATCCTACGATGGTTTCTTGGAGATAAGAACAGTGCAGACTTCTGAGTGTGTAACACGCAGTAATCACACACTCAAGAACTCTTTATCTGGCACCTTCCCACATGTGTAGATTCAATACATGGGATCTTTGGGACAATCTTTGGGACAACCATGACCTGGATGATTGAGAATCTCCATAGCTGTATGTTTACTTTTCACCAAAGGAATGGAACCTGGAAGAAAGTGGGGGCTGTAGAAATAATTTTAGTAAAAAAAAATCTCACAGAATCCCAAGAGCTAGCTCAGGAAGATATATTAGCTTCTGAATGAGAAGACATAAATCATTTGTGTCTTCCATCCACCTTCTGTGCAACCACCATCTTTATTATTTATATATTTTATTAGATTTATACGACTTCCCTTCTCCGATGCTTGACTCTGGGTGGCTAACAATATTAAGAATAATAAAAACATAAAAACACACACACAGCAGGCAGGAGAAAAAAAATTAAAAAACCATCAATCCCTCTGCACAAGTAAGATGACTGGCTTTGTCACATAACTGGACTTGAACATATAGCCATGTCTTCAAGGCCTTATGGAAGGGCAACAGGGATGGAGCCAAATTAATCTCCAGAGAGATGATAATCCAGATATCAGCAGAAAAGGCTCTTCTTTTGGGTCCTGCTAACCCATGTTCCTTAAAGGCCTTGGAGTATGCCCCTTCTGCTGGATTGGAGAGCATGGGTAGAGAGAAGGACTCATACGTGTCCAGACCCAAGTCACTTGCTTGTTCTGGAGAACTTCTTAAGGAGCAACACCTCAATGGACCTTGTCCTATTCTAATGCTATCAATAGCTCCATTCTCAAATTCCAACCACTCAAGACATCTATTACTTTGTCTTGGCTCCTAATAATTACTCAATAACAGAATAAGAGAGTTAGAAAGGACCTTGGAGGTCTTCTAGTCCAATCCTCTGCTGAAACAGAAAAACCCCAGGTGTGAAATCCAGCAGGTTCTGACAGGACCTGGAGAACCGGTAGCAGAAATTTTGAGTAGTTTGGAAAACCGGCAAATACCACCTCTGGCTGGCCCCAGAATGGGGTGGGAATGGAGATTTTGCAGTACTTCCCCTGCCACGTCCACCAAGACACACCCACCAAGCCACACCACATCCACCAAGCTACGCCTAGAGAACTGGTAGTAAAAAAATTTGGATTTCACCACCAGAAAACCCTATACTATTTCAGACAAATGGTTGTCCAATCTCTTCTTGAAAACCTCCAGTGATGGAGCATCCACAACTTCTGGAGGCAAGTCGTTTCGAATTTCTCCTTAGTTCTAGGTTGGTTCTCTCCTTGATTGGTTTCCATGCACTGTTTCTTCTTCTGCTCTTAAGTGCTTTGGAGAATAAATTGACCCCCTTCTTCTTTGTGGCAGCCCTTCAAATATCAGAACACTGCTATCATGTCTCCCCTAGTTCTTCTTTTCTCTGGACTAGACAAACTCAATTCCTGCAACCGTTCTTCATGTGTTTTAGCCTCCAGTTCCTTAATCATCTTTGTTGCTCTTCTCCGCACTCTTTCTAGAGTCTCAACATCTTTTTTTTTACTTCTTTGAATTGTTCTGTGCCCTGGCTGGTGTGAGCTTTGATGCTTTGTTTGTTTTGTTTTTTGTTTTTATTGGATTTATATACCACCGAAGGACTCAGGGCGGTGAACAGCCACAGAATAAAGCACATAAATACAAAAAAATTAAAATAGAATAGAAACGAATTAAATAATTTGGCTGAGACAAATTTAAAATACCCCATAATTTAAAAACAAATTAAAATTTACATTTAAAAGGGGAGAAGATTTAGGCCAGGCCAGCTTGATGGAATAGGAAAGTCTGGAGCGCGCGGCGGAAGGTGCGCAGATCCGGGATCCTCTGTATCTCCGGGGGGAGCTCGTTCCAGATTGTAGGTGCCCCCACAGAGAAGACTCTCCTCCTAGGAGCCGCCAGTCGATATTGTTTGGCCGATGGCACCGGGAGGAGCCCCTCTCTATGGGAGCGTACTGGCTGGTGGGAGCCTGGTGATGGTGTCCAGCCATTGCGTTCTGGCTGGTTGGTTGTCTCTTTTGCTCTTCTCTGCAATGTTTCTAAAAGTCTCAACATCTTTTTTATATTGTGGCGACCAAAACTGGATGCACAGTATTCCAAGCGTGGACTTAGCAAGACGTATGATGTGAACCAGATCCTAGATTTATTCCCTTATGCCTATAAAAGAGAGCTCTCTTTTTTTGAAGGAATTGCTTTATAAAGGAATATTTCTGTGGAATCCAAAAGTCATTTGCCACATTTTTCTCTCCAAGGACATCAGATCTTTTACTAGCATAAAAAAAGGGAAAAGAAATGTGGGTAAGAGACCCTTTCCTTTTTCAAGCATAGTTTTAAACGACTTGCTTTCTACGTGGTTGTTTTATTTTCTTTTTGAAAGATGACAAACCTTTTGCCTCTGCTGGGTCAAAAGTGTGTAGGAAAAAAAAAAAGAAGAAGACAGACAGACACACAAAATACAGAAGTGCCACCTCTAAAGGCTTAGAAAAGGACACTTCATTCTTTCAAAGTACGGCTAAGAAGTTTTTCAAAAAAATATTTGAAAGCCATCGTTCTGAGTTCTGGTGTGGGTGACCATGACAGCATGTCAGGGAGACTTTCTATAATTTCTGAAACATCCCCTCCTGTCTTAAAATACTTCAAATTTAACGTTACAAAACAAGTTACTCAGAGAGGAGAGTGGTACTTTATTGCAGCGATTGTCCAAAATGTCATACAAGTTTTGTAAGAAGTTGCAACGCTCTCATTGAGCTACAGAAGCATTTTTCTAGGAGATTCATAGAAGCAGATGAATGCTTCAGGGCACCAAAGACTATAAATACCAGAATACTAAACATCTACATACTTAAGCCTAAATAATTGGATTATAAACTATGTTATGAATAAAATACCACATACCAAGTGCTAAACGAATAATACTCACTAATAACACATTTATAAACTTGCAGTCAGAAAACAGGAAAACAAAAGAAAAAGAAAAAAAAAAACAGCACAGCAAGCATAAAAAGGTATTGAGTGTGTCTCGTCTAATGAAAAGAAGGATTAGGGGTAACATGATAGCAGTCCTCCAGTATTTAAGGTTGAATAGGGTTCAAGCTATTCTCCAAAGCACCTGAGGGCAGGACAAGAAGCAA